AGGAAATATTGCAAATGACTTTACAGGGACTTTGAACCATTCAAATACGCCATTGAATGACTGCAAAATGCTCATATGGACAACAGGTAACTTGGGCATTCACCACACTATGAAAAAATTTTTCTTTATTTTCTAATTTTACATACATGATGAAATACTTGGAACAACTTTTTTTCTTGGTATGCAATCACTGCCTGGCATGTACCGGCAGTGTATTCAGCCTAAAACTGTCTTGTAAAATAAAATTATTTTGTCATCATCACTGTTGCTCGCTTTTTTTTCAATCTTTATTTAAATTCGAAAAATCATTGAGAAGAAGCTATTTCACTGGAAAACCAACCTTGTTGTGTGAGTAGTGTATGATAATAAAATACTTACTGATATTACTAATAGCAACTTCTAACTGATCTACATAAACAACTCCAAAAAAGAAACCAAAGAAATTGATTAAAAGCGTTTTTGCCTTTACAATGAATTGTATTTACAATGTCAATTATAAGAATACCTTATCTTGAAAACAGCTCATAACCGTCACAGCCGACAGTCACGCGCCTGAATTTTAAACAGGCCAATCAGCGCTCCGCACCTGCTTTCATTGACATTGTCTGTGTGGCGGAGTTTCTCCTCATGGAAGCCTGAGGCTGCCACGGAAAGTGCATTTTCACAACTTTTGAACCAGGATTATTTGCCTTATCAGCACGGCTGTATTACAGTCATCTAACAACGTCAATAATTGATTGCCTGGGATGTTTTGGATACTGATTTTATGCTGCGCAGATTCCCTGTAGAGCATCATGCCAAAGAGGGACCCGGATTGGAAGCCTGCAATTGGAAGTGTGTCCAATGGAGCACTGTGCTAAAGTGAGAGGTAACCTAACCACAATCCTCTTGTGGGTTGGTTTGAAGATGTATACCTGCAACATTTGTGGAGAAAAAGTTCAGTCTGTAAAAGCATACATTTTGCATTGCAAACTGCACCGCAATGAACCGTGATGTATTTTCAGATATGTTGACATCAGCTGCAAACAGGTGTTTTCTGGATATGTGGCTTTAAAGTTACACTTCTATCGCCACCACAACAGTACACCAACAGTTAATCGAGAAGTGACTTTAACAAAATTAAAATGTACTGTCTCTCTTTGTGATTGCCAGTGTGAGGGAAGTAAACAGTTATATGCCAACTTAAAGGAGCACATAGCAGAGGGACGCCATGTAGCTTGCTCAGTGAGAGGATGAAAAAGTGTGTTCGCTGCTAAATCATCTTTTACCTCTCACATGTTGAGAAAGCACAGATTTTGGTCAGGCAATGTAATTTGTGCACCAGTTGAGAATGCACATAGCGAAATCCCCACTACAAGTGCTTCCATACAGGAAGCCACCAGTCTGTCGGATGATGAAGACACTGTGGGGGATGGGTCTAATTTCAGTGACCTCTATCTTAGGAATTTATGTATGTTTTACATAAAACTACAGAGGCAGCATCTTCTTCCAGTGTCTATCATTCAAAACATTGTTGAGGAAATGCAGAATATACACAAGTTGGGACAGACTTATACCCTGAATTAACTTAAAATGCTTTTGAAAGATATGCCACTATCGACATTGAAAAAATCAGTGACACAATTAAACAGTAAGACTTGTTAACATCTTGTCACACAGGACCTCTGAGAACTCCCTATTCAAGAGCTCAGTGCTTTGAGGACAAGTTCAAATATGTTGAGCCCAAAAAATTGTGTTGGGCAGAGATAGAGAGGTGTGCATATTATGTTCTTGTGCTAAAAAATATGCTGGGCCTCATGACAGACATTCTCTCTGACAGTTGTGATGGTAATAATTGGTCCACGTGACAAAAATCGCTTCACCCTCTGCATATTTGCGCGTGTGCAAGTATCACTACGCCCCAGAAAGGAAATAGTTCGACACCGAAACACTGATTACTAAAAATTGACAGGATGGCATGAGTAGATGTTTTTTTTTCGTACTTACTATCAAAAGAGCTATTTTATGAATCACAGTTTATGTTGCCCCACTTTTTAAGAGCAGGCTCAAGACCCACCTATTTAATTTGGCTTATAACTAATGTCTTATATTAAATCCATATTTTTATCCTATTTTTTACATTATTTTACTTCATTTATATATTTTAGTCCTCATTTTACGTTATGTTTATTCTATTCATTCACTTATTTTTTAAATGGTATTTTAGCTATTTATCAGTATTTTATCTAATTTGATGTTTTTAGCTGATTTAGTTCATGTTTTTATTGCAATTCTCCAGTGTTTCCTCAGCAGGGGGGCCACCTGCACTGGACAGTCTCCAGTGCAGGTGACTGGTTCTGTCTAGGGTTTCTCTGCCTTGTGGTGTGCGCTCAGCTCGGCCGGGTGGTGGTCTGCAGCAGTGCTTGCTGCTGCGGGCCTGTAGCGGGTGCGCACCTGGGTGAAGCTGTCCTAGCCCTGGGCCGTGAGCAGCCTCCAGTGCAGTCGGCCTCCTGACATTTCCTGACGTGGCTCCTTTGTACTCAGCCACACGCTTTTAAGATTGCATTATCTGTGTGTGTGTGTGTGTGTGTGTGTGTGTGTGTGTGTGTGTGTGTGTGTGTGTGTGTGTTGGAGTGGGCTCACGGTGAGGGTTGGGTGGGATGGGGTGGCGGGCTGGATATGGGGGGGCTCATTGTTTTAAATTGTAAAGCACTTTGTCCTGCATTACTTTTTGCCTGAAAAGTGCTATATAAATAAAGTTTGGTTTGATTTGTCAACTGGGAGCCGAAACATATGCCAATTCTGGAGACTGTAGAGAGTCAGTGAGAAAAAAAAGAACAAATGAAGACGCTTAAGAAATAACTACAGTGCAGATGCTGTGAGACACTTAATGAAGTCCACCTATTTCACTCAGCGTAAAGACATCAACAAAAGTGCGAGAATCCAGAAATTATCCCAGGAATGGCCATTTTTGTTCAAGGAAACTGGAATGGCAGCACACTTCCGGGAGCTGACAGGTGTGAGTTTGATTGAGTCCTACCTTGCCAATGTGGACAAAACATCTTCAAACGTGTTGATGCACATAAATGCAAACAAGTTCTGGATGCTCTTCTTAAACTGGAGAATGAAAGGGGTCACTCTACTGGTTGCTCAGAAATCATACAGATGGTGCTTCTTCTAATGGCTCATTTTGATAAGAAGGAAGAGCATCTGTTCCACTTCATTGAGAAAACAAGCCTTGCTGAGGAGGTTCAGATGGAGAATGTTCCACCAACACCTTGCCTTATTGTGTGTGGTAAGTACATTTAACCAAACACTCATTTGTATTCTTGGCTTGTTTGCTTTCATGTTATAGTGCAGCCCACTTTGAGACACTGGGCAAGATTTAATCTGAAGCTGACAGTAGATTGTATGGCTCTCATCCTATATTGAAATAAGTACCATTTGAATTTCTACTTATGACTGATATGGAAGGCCTTGTCATAGAAGTTTTTTTTTTTTTTTTTTTTGTTCATCTTATTTATTTTTAGGGTCCTCCTGCTTTGCTGCTGAGACATTTATGTTAAGCATTGACCGAGAGATTGTCAACAACCACATCCTTTCCTTCACATCTGCCATCTACCTGATGTTCGGCAGTTATTACTGCTTTAACATACACTACCCAGTGGAACTACAGTCTACACTGGAGTTCCTCCAATGGTAACAATGTATTTCCTCATTCGTATCAATATTAGAAACAGTAGCTTGCATACCGTGTGTGTGTGTCTGGTACTGAACTGGTACTTTTTGTGGGAGCATTTCCACCAAGTCCTGATGCCAGTTCAGCAACTTGCTAATTCCGGCCACTGTGGTTTTTTGGAGACATTTTGTTTTGTTAACCGTAACTGTGCTGCACGGAGATCCGATTGTAGCCATAAACACACCAATACGGCTACGAGCTGAGCCACTGGCTCGTCCACATTTTTTTTGTCTGATTACTTTTATTTTATTGATCCCAGCAGTGTAGCTGGCTAGGTTTGTAGCTCCTCCAAACCAGAGATATATAGAAAGACTAGCTAGCTTACCTACGCTGTGAGCCAATGGGGACTGACGTCATCACACGGCGGCCATTTTACCTAGGGGCTGCTGGCCCACTGATAACATTAATGTCTATGGTTTTAACTGATTTTCAAACGGATTGGTTTGTTATAAACGCCGGATGTGTTTCTGCATATTTACGGATTATTATAACCATGGACATTCATATTAAATTAAAAAAGGAAATAGTAAAGCAATACCTGCCATAGCTGCACACATATACACACAGTGAAATTAAATTGTCAGTGTTTTTGATATTAAACATGAAATAGTTAGATATTTTATAGTTCTATTTAATACATATATTAAATATAAAAGGGTAAGTTGACCCACATGATATTTTAAACTTAAACTTAAAACTTTAACAAATAATGTATTTACTGATGAAAAATAATTTTATAAGACATTTCCCATTTTTCAAATAGTCTTAATTATTTTCTTTGGGTTACTAAACAATATAAGACCAATCAAAGTTTGTTTTTCAGAACCTTTTAATATTTGCAATTATTAATATAATATTGAAAACTTCTCTTGAATGAGTGTATTTATTAAAAATAAAAGATCATTCTGCTAATTTGAGTAGCAAAGACCTAATAAAAATTATATGAATTGTGATTCATATTGGTTCAATTTACCCTAAGGCTTTTGGTTCATCTTGCCTCATGGCCATCGTTTTGATAGAACCTAATTAATTTAATGCTTCAGAATGATATTTTGCTAAATGATTCACATAGTTCTATACATTGAATATCACTAGCATTCATGATGTGTAAGTTGAGACCTGGGTCCATTTGCTTTAACATAAAAATAATTATACCACAAATGTAAAAAATTCCATGGCCTGTTGGAAATTATGTTTGTGTTTTTATTTTAGGGTCACATAACAACTTGTGTATAGTTTTAAAGATCAAGGGGTTCATCCTACCCATTCTGCTACATATATTTTAATGTTTGAAAAACGGGGACACAACTAATGTCAACAGTGTGTTGTGGTGACTGTCGATGCCATAGCGTGTATCGTTGATATGCTCCCCAAGCAAAAACACGTCCTCTGAACCTATTCTCTTCCGCACCATGAAGAGGACCTCCAACATTTTGATGGGCTGTGATCTTCTAGAATCTGCTGCTGCCTGGCGAACAGCCCACTCTGCAGCCCTGATGACTTTCACTGTGCCTTCAGATGTAATGACCAGACCACCATTGTTTTTCAGAGTCAGCAGGTGGTAGCTCTGGTACGTACGGGCAGATTCAGCATCCGTTACAAGGCTGGACCGGCAGACATCACAGGACAGCTTCTTCAGAGTGCGTCGCACCACAAATCCTGAAATTAGCAGAAGACAGATTCATATTCATAACTTATTTCTTTTTTTGGACCAACATCCAATCAATAAGCCAACGTTTCCCCCCAGATTTTGATTATCGGCTGCTATATGGTAGAAAATGGTAGAAACATTTCTAAAACGTCAGGGTGAAAATAACTTGTATTGTACAAGTACAATTTGAACTAAGTTAGTAACAATTATCCTAAATATGTCCCTCAAGTCATTTCTTACGAGTGAAAGGTGATTCCACAGGCTCTTGTTTGGACAGAACATTCATTTGAGCAGCCATGTGCTGCACAAAAGTCTGGCATCTTGCACTGTAGGGGGTATTTCTGTAAACACAAAGCCAAGCATTTACTGTATCATAATGAATCTAAATTAAGGATATATTTTACTAATGAAACAGCTTGAAAATCATATTATGTATGTTTAAACAAAGGAGTAATTCTGCCTTTCCCACCTGTAAAGAATTATGTCGTGGCTACATTGTACTAGTCCCAGTGGACCACTATGTCACATTCACAACCTCTTGTTTCTTTGCTAGCTAATAAACACAACTACATCCACAAAAATCATCATTTAGACAAAATATGTGGTTGTCACAAAATTATTTTGGTCTCACGGAAACGTATTTAATAACTGAAACTCCCAGATTGCAGCCTTGCAAATGGCTGTGACAGACACACAACTATGCAGCAAAATGAAATCGATTTTCGAAAAGAAAAGCTGCACTTTCAACATGTCCACATGGCCTGAATCATAGCCACGTTACTAAGCTTTTTAATAAACCAAACCGTTTGTAAATCTGTCAAGATTTCAGTGAGTTAAGTGTATTTTTGTTTGTGTAGGTCACTCACCTTCCATCCACTACTGTAGAGTGCGTGGGAGAAGTCCCCCTAGGTAAGATGGCTGCTTGGTGACGTCGCGGGCGAGGGTCCCATCAGCCATCTAGCCTTTCTATATATCTATGCTCCAAACAGCACAGTGTGGAAATTTTGCTGTCATATAATGGACAAGCGGGCTGAGTAGTGTTTGTTTCGTGTGTTGCGTCTGTCTGTCTGTCTGTTTGTCTATCTGTCTGTCTGTCTGTCTGTCTGCTTGTGTGCGTGCATGTGTGGAAGCACGATACATAGGTTATTTTAGTTTCTACCAGTGATAGTCCTTATGTTACTGTGTTTGCAGCAATCAAAGCTTCACAAGCTAAAAGTAACATGACAAAGACAAGAGGAAATTGCAATAATATTAAATGTTTTTACTACTCAAATTATATTTGATTTGTACATTCAATTGACTGAGGCATTTGATATCCCACCTTAAGTTCTCTCCCTCTCCTAAAATAATAACACGTTTGGAGAAACTTTATTTGAAGGGTACTTTGAGCTTTTAGTGTCACTTTTGTGAGGAGTACTGGACTTATGACATGTAGCTACTATAGCCAGCCACGAGGGGGATCCCTTTGGTTGACCTGTCATGTTCGCTTGCATAAACGCGAAGAGCATGTCATAAGTCCCGTACCCCTCACAAAAGTCACACTTAAAGCTCAAAGTACCCTTCAAATAAAGTTTCTCCAAACGTGTTTATTATTTTAGGTAGTTATTTTCACGATAATCCATGTCCAAGAGTCCATTTCCCCGGATGAGATGGGTTTTATTCATTATTTGACACTATAAACACACATTGACATCCTTGAGCTTTTATTTTGGTATTTCCGGTTACCGGCATTTGAATTTGCATATTAGCTAAATATTTAGTTTCACCCAAAACATTTAGATTGAGATTTAGATTTAACATTTAGATTTGGCATTTAGATTTAGATTTAGCATTTAGATTTAGATTTAACATTTAACATTTAGGCGTAACATTTAATATTTAGATTTAACTATTTAAAATATCTCTAAGTTGACAAATATTGTTGTAAATGTGCAAAAAAAGTGACTGTCAAAAGTTTATACCAGGTTTTTAAACGATGTTTGAAGCTAAATGTGGCAAAATGTTGCCGTTTTTTTCAGCGTGAGCCGCTTTACAAACGGCGCCCCATACCTGGCTGCTGGCATTATACAATTAACAATAGCAAACTTTCTATGTACATTCTAAACTAAGACAATCCATTTGTAAAATATTAAAACTGTGTTTTTTACAGTAGACTATGGTATCAAGGACATTTCTTTACTGTAAATGAATAAGCTTTTGTACTGTAAAAAACATTAAAAATAACAAACTTTCTATGTTCTCAAGTAAAACAATGTATTTTTCAAATATTAAAACTTTGTTTTTTACTCTAGAATATGGTATTAAGGACAACACTCTCTTTTAAAAGAGAGCTGGGTGATTCTACAAACTGGAAGGCTTTCATTAGAAACAATAAAGGATGACCCTTCATCTGCACATGCAGACTGCTGTTCCCTCTGTGAAAAACCTGTTTCTGAGGTTTATGATAAGTCCTGCTTCTGTTGGGAAAATCTGAGGGTTTCAGCTGACCTGATGATCATGAAAAATAAGTGTCAAATGAAACATAAAGTTAAAGTCCAGAAGAAGAGAACTACTCAACAGGTTAATTTATTATTGTCCATTTAAGAATTAACAGTTGGATTCATGTCAGCCTGCTTTAATTAAATAGAATTGGATCTCTACAGTCCAGATGAGGTTCCAGCAGGAAGACATCAAAAAGCTACTTGAGGATGTGGAACGAATGTAGAACAGTTGTTGCTGTGACAGTTAAACAAAAAGTAAGTCCATGTGTACTCACTGATAGAGGACTGAAGAGGTTTAACCTCCAAAGAAAGGTATCCATACTTTACAACAGTGGCGTTCCTAAGCAACTTGGCACCCTAGGCAGGATTTCTGGTAGCCCCCTGCACGCAACTTATTAGACCAACCACAAACCCAGCCCCGCGCAACTTATTAGACCAACCACAAAATATTCATCATAAACTCACACAGGGCACAGAGTATCTTCACGTCTTTAGAATTTTAAAACCGCAGTTGCAGTGCAATATGCATAATGTAGTAATTGTACTACAATAAACTAAACAGCAGCCATATACAAAATACCCTGGACAACCGCAATCAACAGTACCCCACAAAATCCTCAAAGGAAAACAAAATGGCTCAAAAGACATATACATATATACATACAGCAGCATTGTAATTTAATATCAGTCAAGGAAAACAAGTGTCAAAAACATAAATTGCAATATTAATAAGGTAATAGTACAAAATACAATGTTATAGAAAAACACAAACACAACAAATTACAAATAGTGAAGTATGTAAACTAGAAAGAGTGCAAATATTCAGTGCAATATGCATATGTAGTAATTGTACTCCAATAAACAGGGCCATATACAAAATACCCTGGACAACCTCAATCTAGCCCACAACATCCTCAAAGGAAAACAAAATGGCTCAAAACATAGCAGCATTGTCATTAAATCTCAGTCAAGGAAACAAGTGGCAAATATCTGTAAAATATCTTCATGATGAGTCAGTCAGTCAGTCATCACTGCACAGATAATTTAGTGAAAATCATTAGTCTGTACAGCTCAAAAAAGAAAGGAAAAAAAGAGGAAGAAAAGCCAATACGGCCGGTGTTATGCCATAGAATGCACCCCCACCATAGAATGCATCCCATCCACTCATTAGCTTCTTAAAGTGGAAAAAAAATGATCTCATTTAAAAAAAAAACATGAGTATTCATCATGACAACATGTCAAATGGAGCAGCAAACTTTCGTTCTGTTTTTAGGTATTTAAAAAATGCACATACAGAGGTGTACTTGGGTATATAAACTGTACCGTAAGCTGTTAAGGTAGAGAACATTATATTTTCGGGGCAGCAAATATTCCGAATCAGAGGGCTATTGTTTTCGGCATATCTGAATAGCCTGAATGAAATCATTAAAGGCACACGCTTTAGAATCAGTCCAACGGTAAGGAAAACTTGGATTATTTCGCCTTGTTGTGTACTTTCAACCGCGCCCCCGTCAGGGGGGGCATTCTACAGCAGGGGTGCATTCTATGGCACAACACCGGCCATGGGAACGGTGTCTTAATAAATCCCCCTTAAATCTGTAAATCTGTAACTTCAACTAAAACATCAGCAAATGGCTTGACACAAATGATTTGCTTAGCTAGTACTTTGTGTTTTTGATCTGCATTCTGTAACATGCTGGACTTCCATGATCTAACGACTTTGAATGAATTGAAAGTCAAGACTCGTCTCGACTTATCACTTTGGAGAAGTCAAGCACAGAGGCATTATGCCTCGGCAAGAAAGCATGTTGTTGCCTAACAGCTGAGGCATTAAGCCATGATGATAATTGACGCTGCTCTGCCTGGTCTGCCTTGGTTTATTATTGCCTTGTTGGCTGTGCTTGGTGTGGTCTCTCTGTGTGGTGAACTGGTGGTGGCGATGCATAAGCCGCGGCAGCACTGTGGGTGTGTTGTGTTACAAGTTACCTGGCTGCAACTAGTTGAGTTAAACACACAAAGAGTTACCAACCCAACTTACCTCAGAAGCAAGCGCAGTACGACTACAAGGAGGGAGCGGGGGGCGGGGAAGAGTTGTGTCCTGTGTGCAATCCATTGGGGACCGTGGTGAAATTGCAGGCAGGTTGCAGGCAGATAGACACTTAAGCCCAAATATATAAATGATTTAGCCATTGTTTAAAGACTTTACGACTGTTTGTACTGTTGTTCGATTGCTGTGTTTTTGTTGTTGTTTTATATAGCGAAAAAAAAGTATTTATAAAAATAAAAAAAAATCTTCTCCCCTCCCTGGCGCCCTTTCTGCTCGCGGGCGCCCCTAGCAGCTGCCTTCTCTGCCTAATGACAGGAGCACCTATGAATGAAGAGTTTTTTATGGGGTACTTCAGGAGTCATAAAGAGCCATTATCTTTCCTCTCCAACAAACCAGCTAAGGTCATCCTACAAAAAAAAATCATCATCCTACATTTCTTCAAACACCTGCTTCTTAGTAATTACTGATGTCTAAAGAACCATACCTGAGCAATCTCAGTGCATATTCAACTTGAATATGAATGTTAGATGACCTCTCCCTCAGTCCAAGCTGGACCTGTACTTTGTTAAAGCCACCTGTCCTTCCTTTAATCAGAGGATGATTTATATCCATGGCAAGTTTTCCAGGGCAGCGAGTCCTCCCTGTAGGCAGTGGCTCGTTTGCTCTGTAATAAACGTGGTAGCACACAGCATGAAATGAGCTGTCCACAGGCCTTGGAACATATTGCTCTCCCTGCACTTGTTAATAGAGCAGCATGAGCCTCCAACAGGCTGCAGCAAACTAATTAACATTCTTTGTGTGTTGACGTGTTCCAGCATGTTCTGCCTGCCAAGAGATAACTGCTCTATAGCATTAGCAACTCCATCTGCAACCCTCTGGTTTTATTAGCAGCAGAAGTATCAGTC